CTTTGACAGCCTGGAGTACCAGGGGCGGCACATTTTCCCATAGAGCTAGCGCTCCTGTTACTCTGCTTTTTTAACAGCTTGGATTAATCATCAAGTGATTAAAAATGCCACTGCTAGCTCAGCAGTGCCATACAACGCTGCAGGATGCTTAAAATCTGTTGGAAATAGCCAAAACTCAAACGTAGCACGTAATAACGGCGCTACTGACATTTGGAAATACTTTGAATGAAGGCTGACTGTTCCCAAACGTCACGGACCAAAGGAGTGGATTTGCTTGTGTAAAACTGGTTGAAATGCTTAGGTTAGATTAGATTTGCCATCATAAGCGAGGAAGGGGTGCTTTAAAGTTGTGGGAAAGTGCATTAAAACTTTTCTAAATAGCAAACCCTCAGTCCAGGAGGACGTGACATTTGGGAACGTTGACGCTGCTATTTCTGGGTCCCGAATTGTCACAGAATGTAAACCTGATGTAGAAAGGAATAAGTCAATGACTAAATAAATAAATGACAGGGCTACAGTGTCCTTAAAAACAGCTTTGTTTAAGAAAGCAAGCCCACCCCACCCCCACGCAGATTCGCACCTCCGTTGTTCACTCTCACTGCGCATGCTCGCTGTTATCGCCTTTGGAGACACAAAGACTGCAGAGGGGCAGACAACGAGCGCTGATCTGAAAGAAGGATGTGTTGAAGAACTGCAGAGAGTTTTTTTCATAAGAGGAAGAAAATTTGGAAAATCACTGGGAGCAGTAAGTGAACTTATGTTTTTATGACGTTTTCAGATAAATGTTCGAGTTGTGTGAGTACTTCATGCTTTAAAGATTAAAAAACCCCGTCGCCACGAGGTCATTCGACGGGGTTCGACTTGCTAAACACTTCTGTGTAGATGTTTTATTTGAAACTAGTCTTTCTTTGTCAGAAATGATGATGTTTGACTTTTTTGCAACTTAATTTCATCAGTGCAGTGCCAAAACTTAATTGGCTGGCGCCATTATGACTGACTGTGCTTTGCTTGCATTTTTAATGATGAAAATCCGAATTGAGATGCATTTCCTAACACTGCACAATGAGATACAGTTTATAAACGTTTTGTGGTCATATTTTTAAGCTGAATTTCTAAATTTAGAGCAGCAGGATGGAATGCAGAAACTTAAAGGGTACCATCGCAGATCGTGCCCTGCAGTGGAACTTACCACCAGCGGACCCCCCCCTCCCCCCTCCCCTCACTCACAGACACACAATCTCCACATCCAGGCACACAGACCATCTCCCAAATGATTGTTTATTTAAAAACCGAGTTATTCAAAGCAATAATGTTTAAGTAGTTTTTCTTTGTCAGAAATTAGTTCAATGAAATTTATCCCAGAATAATAATAATAATAATGAATAAAGAACAGGAGAGCATAGTGGATGCTTTACAACACAATTATTGTTCATTATTATTATGTATCTGTTTTTATTTATTTTTTTTCCAGATATGACACTGCCAAAAGCCAAAAACCCATGCCCCATTTGCTCGAAGACGTATGCGGCGATGTCAAAACATTTAAAGACTAGCCATGGGGTATTAAACGACGAGGTTCGACTTGCTAAACACTTCTGTGTAGATGTTTTATTTGAAACTAGTCTTTCTTTGTCAGAAATTATGATGTTTGACTTTTTTGCAACTTAATTTCATCAGTGCAGTGCCAAAACTTAATTGGCTGGCGCTATTATGACTGACTGTGCTTTGCTTGCATTTTTAATGATGAAAATCCGAATTGAGATGCATTTCCTAACACTGCACAATGAGATACAGTTTATAAACGTGTCGTGGTCCTATTTTTAAGCCGAATTTGTACATTTAGAGCAGCAGAAACTTAAAGGGTACCATCGCATATCGTGCCCTGCAGTGGAATTTTCCACCAGCGGCCCCCCCCTCACTCACAGACAGACAGTCTCCACATCCCTCTCTCACTCAGAGACACAAGTCTCCACATACAGGCACACAGACCATCTCCCAAATGATTGTTTATTTAAAAACTGAGTTATTCAAAGCAATAATGTTTTAATTTATTTTTTTATATGTGTTGGGTAACTTATTTACTATGAGAAAAAAAAATTTTTATAAATATTTTATAAATAATTAATTACAAATAAATGATACTTACTGTATTCAGTATTATGTATCAGATGTATTTGTATTTCCATCAGATATGACCCTGCCAAAGACGAGAAACCAGTGCCCCATTTGCCAGAGTTTCTACTCTGCAATGGCGAAGCACCTGAAGAACGGGCACATGGTGCACAACCTAAAAGAGCGCCAGCTCCCGCTGAACCTGGCGAGCGGGCGTGTTAACATAAGGAACGAGCAATGTCCAGTCATGGGCTGCACCTACAAGAGCACCAGGCTGGACCAACACCTCAGGTGCTGCCACTCGGAGCTCAGCAGTGATCAGGTCCAGCAGCAACTGCGGTGGGCCCGGAGAACCACCACAATAGGCCTCTTGAAGCAGCTCCGGGAAACGAACCCAGCAGTGCCTCTGGCCTCTACTCTGGACCTGGTGGAGGAGGACTACTTAGATGAGGTGCCTCTAGAGTTGGAAGAGGAGCCCCTCTGCCAGAACCCAGAGTGTAAGAAAATGCGAAGCAAGGTAGTTGCCCTGCAGGAAGAGCTACGAAAGCTCAGTGATGCTTACCACAGGCAGAGCAAACTATTGCGCCGGGTTTCCAAGGTTAGTGAGTGAGTGAGTGCGTGAGTGAATTAAATTGCCTGACACTACTGACAAAGTTACACGATTAAGCTTTTTCTTTCTGTGTTTTTTCAGGGCAAAAGAGTTGGCAGAGGAGAGCAGCAAGTGGAGGAGGGGGATGAGGGGGAGCAGCAAGTGGAGCAAGAGGAGGAGCAGCCAGGCCCTTCACATGTGCCTGCCCCAGTGGCAGAGCCATCGAGGGAGAGAGGGCCAGAGGTACCTGGCAGCGTGGAGGCAGGCCGGTCCAAAGCTGCAAAAAGGCTATTTATGGGGACCGGCAAAGGCTCCTTCCTCCGCCACATCAAATTCCCGGAGTCGATCGGTGGGTATTACTACATTTTGGCAGTTTGGTATTAGTAAATGTGTTTTTGATCAATGTCATTTTCATCATATCTGCACTTATTTTTTTTTTAATTGGAATTGAATTGTTTATTGTGATATTCTTTTTTGTCTTGACAGAATCCTACCTGAAAAAGTACCAGGCGTTCAGGGAGGGCAGCTTGCCAAACAAGAAACACCGGGAGAATGTGATCTCCCAGGTGAGCCGCATCAGGTCGTTTTTGGCCTACCTGGCCAGCAATGACCTGAAAAGGGCAACCTGGCACTTCCTGGACAACACGGAGCAGATCCTCCAGTAAGTGCTCTCTCTCTCTCTCTCTCTCTCTCTCTCTCGCTCTCTCTCTCTCTCTCTTCCTGCTCACTTTTTTCTCGGTTTGACATGTACGCATGAAACCTATGACTGTATGTGTTCACCCCGCAGATGGCCCGAGATCCTGTGCGCCTCAGGCAAAACCATTACGACTTCGAATTTCTACCTGAGGGATGTCCACCAGTTCATGCAGTACTTCAGAGAGACCCCCCCGAAGTTGGCCCGCCTTTCCCAGAGCCAGATTGTGGGTGTGGTCCGGGCTGTGAAGCAGGCTATGAAAAGTATCAGCAAGCAGATGTTGGCCCACCAGCTAAAAACAAAGGACAGGAAATTGTCCAAGGTGGTGTCCCAGCAGTTGCTGAGGCGGTGCCAGCAATCTGCTCGGGCTAAGATTCCCAAGCTGCTGAGTAAGATTTGTTCACCTCACCCTGAACACATGCCGCCACATGCTTTCTCCACCACATTCTTCACTCGCTTAACTCTTTCTGCCATGTCCACCCCCTCAGACTTGCTGCAGGAGGACTACACAGTCCACCTTAGAAACGCTTTCTACAGGTATTTCAGCGCATACGTGGCTTCCATCTACGGGCACCGCACAGGCGTCTTTAAAAACATGACAGTGGCGGAG